TAGTGCCCCATCGTTGGTGTCAGTGGGGGGAAGGAATAGTGCCCCATCGTTGGTGTCAGTGGGGGGAGGAATAGTGCCCCATCATTCGTGTCAGTGGGAGGAATAATGCCCCATCATTAGTATCAGTGACACCAATGATGGGACACTATTCCTCCCACTGACACCAATGACACTTAACTTGCTGACCCCTGCTCCAGCATGGTGCTGCTGCAGCCAGCATACCTGGTTGCAGCAGCACCATCAGCACGGCACTCTTACCTGTCAGCTGTGGTTCTTCACTCCGGCTTCTCCCTCACTCGATGTTCATGGGGCCGTTCGGCTCCGCCTCCTCGCAGGTGATTGGCGCCTATGTGCCTTTTCTGGGCTACAGTTCTGGCGTCCAATCACCGGTGAGGAGGCGGATCCGAGCGGCAGGAGTGAGGGAGCAGCCGGAGTGAATGAAGGAGCAGCAATTCCTGGATTGGATCGTCGTGGGACTGGGACACGGAGCCAGGTAAGGTATAGCAGCCCCCTGCCCACCCCTGTAGTTAGTGTCCCTTCCTCACGAAAATACGACCCTGCCGGCGGGCTGGATAAATGGCCTCGGCGGGCCGCATGTGGTCCACGGGTCGTAGATTGAGGACCTCTGAACTAGATGGACTTGTGTCTTTTTTTCAACCAAACTCTGCAACTATGTAATCAGCTATTCAAGTAATTAAACATTGCCATACACAGACAACATCTACAGGTTTTGGAGTTTTTTTTTTTACAGTTTTTCTTTTTTTTTTTTTTAAGTCCTCAATAATAAAAACTAGAAACGCCACACTAAATGAGACAAAATTCCTAATTAATGACAAAAGAATGACCTGCCCTATATTTTGAATGCTTGTAGCTTGTTAGCAAAAAATTGTATAGGATGATACATTGTAAGCATCACCGTTTCCTGCTTTATACTCTGCCCATAGGTTTTTTGCTTTGTTTTTTTTTTTTTTGTATTATAGGTTTATCCTTTGTTAAATGCCTGTTGTCAAAAATACTGATAATTACTAAGCAAGGCCCACATGCAATACCCCCAGCTGTACCTAAAGAAAAAACTGACTGGTCAGCTAACGTCTTCAACCAACAATCATTAAATAGATACTGTCCAATAATGAAAAGATTTGTACCTTTAGGCTATGTTTGAAGAGTTCATTCCCTTAAGGCTATGTCACATTCTGTCAACTGATCAATAAAAGAGCAAAGAAAAAATTCAAGGGGTTGCACCAATGCTGGTTCAAGGTATGCAACAGTGAGTTGCTCCTTTGCTGCGGAGTGGGATTCCACAGCAATTTAGTCAGCAGATGCTGTGGCAGCAGGTCAGTGCCAACCACAGGATCTCTAATATGATATGGCCTAGTTCTATGGCAATGATGCTAAACCTAATCACTAAAACACTGCACTTGAATAAATATGTGTAATTGAAGCAGTAGCTGCATCTGTTTTATTTTTTCAGGCTAAGAATAATTATCTTCAGTAGGTACAGAAAATAGCTAGTAATCTTACCAAAAATGCAATGTCCTTGTCAGTTCATGAAAGCGGAAAAGATACCCAAGAACCTTCTCTTTATTGTGTAGGCCACTAGTCCCATTAATCCACCATCTAATGTAGACAAACAAAAGCAGACATATTTGATGTCCAGCCTATGTGGCAGCCGTGTCTCCCTTCATAGATACAATGGAGAAATAAGCATAGGGACAAAGTGTCAGGAAACGTGTTATTTGCCGGATCACTGGCTGAAAAGGAGAACATTATAGAAAAATAATAACTGTTTGTTTTTAGGTTTAGATAAGCATAAAAGTAAATCTATTGCCATTTTGTTTTGAATAGAGTAAGAGAACGATTGCATGAATTTGACCACTGCTCTCTTGTCCCTGCTGTGGAAATTCACTCTATTTATTCTGGTGACTATTGTCTCTAGAAAAGAAAGGAATAAGCAATCCAAAATGTTATGTTGTTGGAGGAACAGAAGGTGAGGTAAAATCTTCCATTTGGGACATATATGTTCTCTAGTGTCTATGCCCTGGGCTGGCTAAATTTAGTGTAAGGCTCTGGTGTAGCCAGTTGAATTGCAATTTGCTTGTTAGGTCTTATCAAGTACATCCCTAATCCTAGTGGCTGATTGTTTCTGCTTTTCTCTGGTAGAATGTTCCAGAAATAGCATGAGAGGGTCAGTGACTGGACTATGAATATTTATCTGATCTTAGCAGATCCCTGGGAGGGAGGCCCAGAAAATATGGCTGCAGAGAAGATCAATGTTCTGGGAGGGTCTGATCAGAGCTCTCTCTCCTGGGGTCACCCCCCTGAGAGGCAGCATGATTGTGATAAAGAAGGGTAACTGCTGTTAATCCTTAGCAGGTGCTAAGGCTGAGGGCCTGAATGGAAGCTGGACTTGAGGAAATTTACTGGAAGACATTACCTGTAGAAGCTGGGCCAGAGAGTGGACCCTTTCACTGAAGAATGTTGCAGGGAAGCTAGTTGGAAACTGCCTCTGGACATTGTGAGTAGGACTTCAGAGACATGCTGGCCATAGTGCAAATGAAGTTCTGAGGCACCTGCAAGAGCTGGCCTGCGGGTGATCATCTTGCTGTGAACAGGCGTGAGAATATGCGCATGAACATTTGCCACTGATACTGGCACAAAGTGGACTATATAAGTGCAGCAGCTGTACTATTGAGTTTGCTCTCTGATCTACAACTTTCCCTGTGTTCCTGTGCCTGAAACCGTATCTGATTCTTGTGATTGACCCGGCTTGTCATGACCATGTTTGAACACTACATGCCCTGACCTTGGCTTGTTACTCACTTACTTACTGGCCATCCACCTGTCATATACCACCAGCCTGCTTTGCACCTGTGATCAGTCATCTTCCTGCCAAGCAACTGCCAGCCCGAGGTGCCAAATTCTTGGCCTGCTGCTTCTGTTGCCATCTGCTGTGTCAGCCACCTGATCTGTTTCCTAGCAAAGCACATGCTACTTACCAGTGTTATCAGCTGGACATTCTACAGCCACCTGTACCTCGCCGTTCTCTTGCAGCCACTGTTGCTACCACTATCAGTAACTGGTCCTTGAGCCAGGGCTGTAAGAGATGCCTCCCTCTACAAGTCAGGCTCTGCTATTCGGTAAGTGACAAGGACCTTTCACCTAGAGATCCAGGTTAGCAAGTGTTTTGAGCATTATATACTAGAGGATGCTACAAGGACTGTGACTGCTTGTATAGAACCTCAGGATAACTGGCTGCACCATCTGCTACCTTCATTACTTTGAGGGTGCTACTGAAGAGCCCAATATTGCTGAAACAAAATTTTTCCAGGAATCTATCCTCCAAGACCTGCGTGTGTTTTTCAGTATCCTGCACCCTTATTTCTGCCCATGTTCAAGATCTTCAATGAAACTTCAAACAACACCCGTAAACTGAGTTTGAATTTTGTTGGTGTTCTTCTGGAGCTGGTACCAGAGTTGGCAGTCTCTGAACACATAAGGGAAGAAACCTGTTTTATTTCCAGTGGCCTTTCTGTGAGATCAAACCAAGATTGTGATCACAACAGTTCTGGTGTCAGCTGTGTCGGAGAGGGAATTTCCCCTTACTTTAAATATCCCCCAACGCCTTAGGTCAGAGTCCTGACCTCAACCCGATTGAAACAGCGATTCAACCAACAAAAAAAAAAAAAAAAAAAACCCGATCATTGTGGGGATCTGTTAAAGTGATATTAAAGGGGTTTTTTTTTTTTTTCCTTTCTGAAAATGTTAAAAAAAGAGGCTCATAAGTTTGTGTACTTATGTTGTGGCAAGGATACTACCACATATCGCCCCCCTTAACCAAGGGGTTCCTCTTCTGGCAAGGATACTACCCTCGGCCCCTCCTCTTCTGGGGTCTGCTTCTCCTCTTCTCTGAGTGCCGCCATAGCAAGCCCTGTGCTATGGGGCACTTGTGCAGGCACACTCCCAAGCTGGACTGTGCATGTCCATAGACACACACCGCGGCCCGGTCATGACTCCCTCTCCCTGCTCACAGGATTTGATGGACAGCAGCAGGAGCCATTGTCTCAGTCTGTCCTGTGAGAACAGGTTAAAAACAGTGCTGCTGCAGATTGGACAACACTGGATTGAGAGAGGTAAGTATTTAGGGGATGAGGAGAAAAAGATTTTTTAACTTAATACAAAAGCCTCCTCCATCCTCCTTTTTAAGTTTTGGCACTTTAAATTTTTTGGAGGGAAGTGGGTACCTGGTTTCCTCCAACGTCTGGTCAGATCGCCACGACGATGTGAGCAGAAGTTCTCTCCCTTACTCTGCAGCCTTCTGGGACACATCAAAGGTCCCAGATAGCTGTGGGACAATTCATAAAGTGCAGCGCAGCTCGTGAAAGAGCAGTAGGAAGCCAGCTGTAAAGCCACAAGCTGTCACAGTTGGCTTCCTGCACTAAGCCTGGGTTCACACTGATGCGGTGCGGAATTCGCAGCATTTTCTGTGTGAATTCCGCACCGCATCAGAATCACACCTCGTTCATGCGAACCGCTGCGGGTGTGTATGTTAACAACAACCTGAAATCGGTCTGCAAAACGCTGTGTGATGTGCAGAATAGGATCGCATACGTGTAAATACCCATGTATAATTCTAGTGCGGACCGAAAAAAGGGTCCTGCACCTTTTTGGTGTGGATGAGGTGTGATTTGAGCCATACATAATGTATGGCTCAAATCACACCACACACAATTCGCATGTGATTTGCACAGGAATGCGGTGCAGTTCCTGTGCGAATCACATGGAATGTACCAAAATGCATACCGTATTTTTCGCCGTATAAGACGCACTTTTTCTTCCCCAAAACTGGGGGGGAAATGTCAGTGCATCTTATAAGGTGAATATGGAGCGGCCGGTCCGGTATTTCCACCGCGGCCGTGTCAGAATACCGGGCCGGCCGCTCAGCTCTGCAGCGGGACCTTACCTGTTCCTCTATCCAGCGGCGTGCTGTCTTCCCGGCTTCTGTAGTGTGGGCACTGGGCATGACAGCCGGGTGCCAAGTGCGCATGCGCAAGAAGCGGTGCGCTTTGTGAATGGTAAGGCAGCACCTGGGACACATGACAGATCCCAGAAGCCGGCGGACCAATCACAAAGCGCAAGTGCTTCTCGCTCATGCGCACTGGGCACCCGGCTGTCATGCCGAGCGCCATTACAGAAGCCGGGAAGACAGCGCGCGGCTGGATCGAGGAACAGGTAAGATCGGGTACCTGTCAAATTCAGGTACCCGCTCCCCACCTCCCCAAAGGTCAGCAGTCATCTGTACTGTCCGCAGTCTCTGGTCATCCCTGTGCTGTCCGCAGTCTCTGGTCATCCCTGTGCTGTCCGCAGTCTCTGGTCATCCCTGTGCTGTCCGCAGTCTCTGGTCATCCCTGTGCTGTCCGCAGTCTCTGGTCATCTCCTGTACTGTGTCTGCAGTCCATTAGTTCAGAATTTTTTTTTTCCTGTTTTCTGCCTCTAAAACCTAGGTGCGTCTTATGGTCAGGTGCGTCTTATACGGCGAAAAATACGGTATATGTGAACCCGGGCTAAAGATGCTAGTGCTGGGGACCCAAAGAGCCAGCTTGGGTGAGGACCGCATTGGATCCCTGGACAGACAGGTAGGGTGTCCTGTTAATAAAATCCAGCAGCTAGAGTATTTGTAGCTGGTAACTTTTACTTTTTTGTTTATAGGGTGAAGAACTGCTTTAACGTTGTATACTTTACAGTTTTATTAAAATAAATATACTAATGCTTGTTGCACTATCCCTTTAAAAAATAAATGTCAAATATATCTTACAACATCCATCTAATGTGCAAATAGTTGCAAAACATATAACAAACATTTTACATGATTCAACTAGTGTTGCTATATCCCTTTAAGAAATTCATAGACCAAAAAAAGATATAATTAATCCAGATAAATGTGCAAAATAGTGCATAAAAAGTAAAGAGTGCAATATTAATAAGCTTGCATATTTATGCACCATTTTGATCACTTTTTTTGCACTATTGTGCACATTTATCTGGATTAGTTATATGATTCTAGTAATTAAATTGTGATTTTTTTTTTTTGGTCTATATTTTTTAAACACGTTTGTCGGACATTCACTGCATATTCAGCAGCTCGACACTTGTACTATTCATGAATACTAAGTTGCTAGGTAAAGTTAACTTCACTTACAAATTGTCCTTAAAGTGGTTGTAAAGGCTGAAGGTTTTTTACCTTCAAGCATTCTATGCATGAGGGTAAAAAAACTGTGTGCTGCCCCCGCACAGCCCCCCAATACTCTCCTGAGCCCCCTCTCAATCCAACGATGTGCACAGCAGCCTGGGCTGTCCCGGGTTTCTCTCTTCTCATTAGCTGAGACACAATAGAGGGAGCCATTGGGTCCCACTGCTGTCAGCCAGAGAGCCAAAGAGGAGAGAGGGGAGGCAGAGCCAAGTCGCAGCTCTATGTGTTTTATAGATGCATGGAGCAGGGCTCAGGCGCAAGCACGCACCAGTGCCCCCATAGCAAGTGGCTTGCTATTGGGGGCACTGGTTAAGGTGGAGCAGCCAAGATTACCAGTGGGGGACATAAGAAGAAGAGGATTGGTGCTGCTCTGTGCAAAATTACCAGTGGGGGACATAAGAAGAAGAGGATTGGTGCTGCTCTGTGCAAAACCATTTCACAGAGCAAGTGAGTATAACATGTTTGTTATTTAAAAAAAAATTAACCTTTAAATTGGAAAAGGTTTCCAGTATGGTCTGGCCTTTAAATACTACCACTGAATGTCAAGTTCTATGGACATGTGAATTTTAACACTCACCAGGCTGAGATGGCAAATTTGTGGTTTATAAAGGTGTTTTAAAATGTGAATCTGTTGAAAATTTGTATGTCCGACACTTCATAGTAATGACAATTTTCTACCCAATAGTTTTTATATGAATATTGCTGAGCTGCACATTATTAGGACACACTCTTTATCAAGTCAAATAAGTCTTCCACCTTGGACAGGACTCATGATCAGATGTTTTTTGTTCTTGCTTTACATAAAATCACAGAGAAAGCTGTAATGTTGTACTAGAACGCTTCTCTGCTTAGCATTAGAAGACACAATATTGAAAGCATGCTACTTCATTACTACCCCATTTCAACATTTAACAGAACAAGATGCCTAGTGGTTCTGATGTACTGTATCCGCTGGATTGGCGTCATTCTTGCTGTGTTCCTCACCTGCTTCATCTGAAAGCAATGATGTTTTTGTTTAGATCTGAAGAACGTTCTGTCCTTTCCATACACACCTTTTTACTGGGTTAACAGTTAAAATATTTTAGGTTGTAATTTAGTTACACAACTTGGTAGCTATTTTAATGTTATTCTAGCTACTTGCATTATGATCTGATCTCCCTCCTATAATGCAGTTAATGATATTGCAGTCCTGTTATGGTATTTAGATTGCTCTTTTCATTTTATACTCCATTATCGTCTAAGGCAGGCATAATAACATTGTAAACGGTTCCTTGTCATAGGCAGAGTGGAGTACAATCACTGATTCATGTACAGCTTAGCTTGTGAACCTGTGATATCAGTAGGTGTAATCCAAAATGCCAACAGATGGACCTCTTCCACTTTGCTTGCCTTTGAGATTATATGTTTAACAATTTGAACAGTTAACTCAGTCAGTCTTTTCAATGTGGAACGTTAGTACTGGAAGTTATGTGCTGAACATCATAAGCTTAAGTAAACCTTCACATTCAATTACAGCAACTGAGGGTCACTGTTTAGTACAAAGTCTTCTGAAAATCCAGGTCTAAAAAATAATTGCTTTCAGTTTCTCAATTACAGTGGATGTCAAGGTGTGTTTTTTTTACTTCTATTTTGAAATAGAAATTTTGAAATTTCCCTTTAACAAGCAGAATACAGTTCATTTCCCAGCACAAAAAGATATAATGTAACCTTTTGTCATGGTCATGAGGGTAGTTAGGATCAGTTTCAGCGTTCACTCCAGGGCAGTGAATCATGGGCTCTGTTTTTCATTTTTCAACTCCCATGTGCCCTTAGCATGTTTTATTAGTTCAGAACTAATGGATTTGGAAATAACCAACTTTTCACCTTTTCATATAAGACTATCCAAAATAAGCAACTTTTATTTAAAGCTCTAAAACTTGGATGCTGTTGGATTTTTACAACTTTGCCTTTGGCCAGTACCAAGAAACCTAAAATTTAAATATATAAATGCACAGGCACCACAAGGTCACCAGTTTGAAAGAGAGATTTCTTGCAATTTTGGGGCTGCATTTCTGCAAATGAAGTTGAAGGTTTGGCCAGGATCAATGATGTCCTAAATGCTGAGAATTACAGGCAAATACGTATCCATCATGCCATACCATCAGGGAGGTTTGTGATTGGCCCCAAATGTATTCCCCAGCAGGAGAATAACCCCAACCATAGAGCCAATGTCATTGAGAACTCTCTTCATCATAAAGCAGAACAAGGAGTCCTGGAAGTGATGGTTTGGCCCCCATAGAGCCCTAATCTCAACATCATCGTATCCGTCTGGGATTACATGAAGAGAGAGAAGGATTTGAGGCAACCTACATCCACAGATCTTTGGTTAGTTCTCCAAGATGTTTGGAACAACCTACCTGCCAAGTTCCTTCAAAAGCTGTGTGCAAGTGTACCTAGAAGAATTGATGCTGTGTTTGAAGATAAAGGGTGGTCACACCAAATATTGATTTGATTTGAATTTCTCTTCTGTTCATTTAATTTCCATTTTGTTAATTGATAAAATTAAACGATTAACATTTCTATATCTGAAAGCATTCTTGATTTACAACATTTTTTTACACATGCCTAAAACTTTTGCACATTAGTGTATATTTGGCAAAAGTGACACCTGAAGTGAATCCTTTAAAATATGTCCCCTCAGCTTGCATTTTATTGGAGTTACAGGATTTCTTTCATACATAGTTAAGCTTACGTTTTTCAAAGATGAATCAGTTTTTTGTATAAAAAATATCTGTTCTAAAGTCACAGATGTGACATACAAAAGCAGAACACCTTGTTTTGTAATTGACATCAGTGCAGTACCACAATATAGCAATGTTACTGATTGCCTCCATTGCCTCCATTGCCTTAAAATAGAACAGAAGGGAAAACTTTTTTTCATTTTGGATAAAGTAAGTAAGGGATATAACCCCTTCAGTTTTTTTTTACATTAGTGTCCCATTGGTGAAATTTCCCTTCACTTCCTGTCCCATAGACACAACAGTAAGTGAGACGAAAGGATGAAGGAAATCCCTGGTAGTCACCAGAACAAATGTTCCCATTCAAAAATTTTCCCTTTATTCCTCTTCTGGTGACCACCCAATATTTGGGATTTTCTTCAGCCAGAGAGGGTGAATTTCCCTAACAGGTACACTGAAAATTTGACAGGTGTTCTAATCCCTCTCAATTGCATCAAAAACTAAAATAAAACTTTTTTTTTTCTTCAGTTATACTTTAGGTTACAAATCAAAATCAAATACTCACTATGTAGGCCTAAAATTTCATGTGATTCCTTAAGGTCCTGAAAATCTAATGTCACTAAATTTGCAGCTAAAGATAATGTGATCTACTACAAGGCTATAGAAACAGCAAAATAATCATGGATACATTCACAGTGCTGGAAGTGTTCTGGATTATTGTAGGTAGTAAACAATTTTTAGATTAATATTTCTTCAATAGGATTTCTATTTTGTTTTTGTTACTGCCTACAATAAACAATCAATCAATAAATCTAAAAATGTAAAAGCTAATTGGGAACTACAAACCTGCATTAATCATGTGCATCACCACTAACCTAACATTCAGTGAACTGACAAACTAAAACAGTTTAATTCTACAAGGACCCTCTATTAATCAGCAATTGATAAAGTTCTTTACAATTTTACCAAAACAAGATAGTTGCTGGATTACTCCACAAAACAGTACCATAGTCAAGAGCACAGAAAAATTTAATTTTGGGCAAGGAGGTTTAAAGATATTTTCTAAGACAAGCAACAGTTACTGGATGCAAGTTTAAACCCTGGTTCAGTGATTTTACTACAGTTAAGACAAGCTTTCGAGAATTTTTTTTTTTAATTTTCAATGTGTAAATGTTGAATACAACTGATGATTTTACACATGTACAGCATGTTCTAAAACAGGTATGTCAAACTAGTGTTTTATGGGCCAGATCAGACCCTCTTTTTCCTTCTTTTGTGGCCCTCAGCTTGCTTAATTCTTTCTGAGTATTTGTGTAGTAAAACCCCAGCCCTGTGCTCTTTGTCTCTAATAAATTTGGCAAAAGGATAAAAAAAACCCCCCCAAAAAAAACAGATTTTCACCCAACTCCACTATCCTTATAAATAAAAGAGGGAAGGTAGGTCTATAGGTATGTATGTCTAAAGCAATACTGCTAGGTATTAACCCCAAAATATATTTATTTATTTATTTAATAATCAAAATGGTAAGTAAATTTAGTAAATTTGGCCCTATCCTTGCTATTTAAAGTTCTTCTGATGCTGGCTATTTTAACACTGCTGTGTTATCTGCGGTTCTTGTAAATTACCTGTGTGTAACTAATTATTAAAACTTCCTACTGCTGACCAATTTGACATTGCTGTATCATCGGCAGACTCTTAATCCTTACTTGTTAGAAATAGGCCAGTTTCAGGATAGTTTTGCATCAGTGAGAACAAGGACAGCCACAGCAAATGACTATCAAATTTCCATTTGCCAGGCAAAACAGGGTCATTAACTTTTGATGAATAAGCAAGCATTTTCAACAGGTCAAAGAAAATTACCAATTATCTTGGCCTCAAACCTTGAATTATTTATGTATTCATATCTCCTATTCTATTGATTCCCTTTACAAAACAAACTAGCAATCTTTATTAAGAGAACTTAAACACATGTTGACCACTTAGCTCCCATCCCCCCTCTCTTGATTTGGTAAAATGTGTGCAATCACAATGTCTTACCTTCCTAAATTTCTTTACTTATTTAGTGTTCTTCCAATTCCCATCCCCACGCATATTGCTAGGATTAAGCAAAGAAAGGTACTCACATTTATCTGGGGCAACCAGAAACCAGATCTCATGATTCATATCAACACTTCTGGTTCACTTCCAGTAAACGTGATGACGTCACAACGTGTCAGTGAATTTCAATCTGGCAGGTTGGCAACACTGGGTTGGGTTGGAGTACAAGAACAACCTTGGTCTTGGCCACATACTCCTCTCTCTTTGAACAGACATAGGCACAATGTAAGTAGAAGTGCCTGGCTGGGCCCTCATCACCTTTCCCCTTTCCCTTCCCCCACCTCATCCTCTATTCTTTCTATATTCTTTCTATGTTTTTCTACTCTTATTTTTGTGCTACTCGTCACTGACATACTTCTGGTCTTTCCAAATAAGAAACTTTTTTCTTTTTACACCTTTTTTCTCTCTTTTTTTCTGTTTTTGTTGTTGCTTGATAACGTTTGTTCTAACTACCTAATTAGCATGGACATAGCAGGAACATTCCTCTCTATTTTCAGTTCTGTGTCCTCAAAGAGTCAACCGAAAAAGATGCCAACCAAGACCAGTTTGCCAGGGCTGTCCACACTTCGATATTTTTTAATTGCAATGCATTTCTTATTAGTACGGACACTGTCTGCTTCCTACTCTTTATCTCGACACAAATTACTTCATGCATTTTACAGTCTTTACTCTATTGTACTTTCTTGCTCAAAACTAAATAAACAAATTGTAAATGAAAAAGCAAGTGTTGCTGCTAAAGCTACCCAGTAAAAGTCTTTTACTCAAACTGAAACAAATCAAATTATGGAGCTGTTGTGAAAATCACACTGTTCCACAATACCACACACAGCTTTAGAGCATCTCCAAACATGTTATTTAAAGGATTTGTGCATTGTTAATCATGCCTTTGAAACCCCATGAAAAGACCTTCTCCTTGCTATAGAGTATTTTCAAACTTTTTTTTTTTTTTATTAGTAGTACATATCCCCCATGGCAGTATCCAGCTTTCCATGCATCTTTTATTGTACCTTGCCTCGTGACCTAATAAAGACCAGAAATTGACAATAAGGTTCACACCCATAGACTTCAATGAGATTTGCCTCTAAGTTTGGTTGTGATGAATTTTAAACAAGATTTGCCAAACCATTGCAGATTGAACTTGGGTAGATTTGCTCATCACTACGGACAAGGTTTCCTCAGGTCAACCCAGCTTTAGCAATGGTAAGAGTTCCATGTTCCAATGATGCCAGTGTGTAAAAATATTAAACATTTATTTATGATTGGCTCCAGATACTCCAGTATCATCACTGAAGCTTTTACAGATTTGGTTCAGAGTCTCATTGTCCTACAAAATCAGCGCTAGTACTAGTACAAAAAAAAATTATACCATTCTTAGAAAACTCTTTCTAAACATAACAAATGAAGACTGGTGCAGCTTTGGAACTTCAAGTTTGATGCAGCTTCATACTATGTTATATGGATCTGAAAACTTTATGACAACTTGCCTCCTTTGCATATAGAATACACAATTTTTGTAATCATTTAGTCATCAGTTTGTAAGCCCCATGTATTGTGCAGATCTTAGTAACACACAGAACCCATATTCCCATTTAGCCAGATCAGATCTCTGATTGGTTGATATGGCCTAGAATTAGTGTTGAGCAAATTGATTTGCAAATCAAGTATATAAGCAAAATTGCATATTTTCTGATTACTCTGAAGATATGCACACAGATTTGACCAATCAGCTGTTTTTCAAAGACCAGACAGACCTGAATGCACATACACTCACGTAATGTATGCATCTCTTATTATCCTGATTTTGTTATCACTTAAACATAAAGTGAGCATTCAACGTCAAAAGAAATTGTACACTTGGGATAAACCTATCATTAGAGAGTAATAAAGGCTGCCATTGATATTCTCTCAGAAAAATAATAGATGTCTGACTGTCATCCTGACCCTCTGGTTTTAATACTTTTGAATTAATCCAGAACAAGAATGCAGATAAGGACCTCATTCCAGAACAGCATACCTTTTCCAGGTCACTGACTCAAACTATTAAAAGGTAGTTGAGCAGCTTTAGAGTCAAAAGATTTCATGTTCACCAGCATTCCCTCTGGCACAAAAGCTCTAACTTTAAATTATAGACATAGAAAGAACATTACTGATCACATACAGAATCAAATGCACTGTGGACTTATTACACGCAAAATAAACCTTCAGTGTGGAATCATATGAAAGAACTGGGAATCATGTATTTTGAATAGTGCTATGACTGTAAAGTGAACACTGCCCTCAAACAACATACTTCTAGAGAAGGCCATGAAAGTAGTATATTTTAAGAATATGCATGATACGGATGCAGATATATCCTTGCAACTATTCCTAACATTAAATTACATCAGTGCACAATTCTATGCACATTAAATAGTGTGCGTACAGCACATTCAGACTTAATTATAACACAGAGAAAGATGGGCTATATGCAGCAAGCCAAACCGGTCAATTATAAATCATCTTTTTTTGGGTTTACTAATAAGAACAGCCAGGATGAAAGCCGACCAATGTTTGGTGCACTTACACATGATCCATGCCCTTTATTCTCCCTTAAAACAAGCTCCTGTTAAGCATCCATGCAGGTGTACACTAAACAGATGTACACAACTTATACTGGTCATTAAATCAAGTACACTTCTGAAAGTTTAGTTTGGCCTTCAGATTCTAAAAGCTTCAGATTAAAAATGAGCAAAACAGAAACCAAGCGGATCAGTTAGAGACATCATGATTATGGGAACACACTTCCAAACTCAAATCATATTGGCACAGAAAAAAAATTCTTTAACTTACCTTATGGGTACTTGAAGCATTAATGTCATTCAGCTTGCAAGTGGTGTAAAATAAAGCAGCCAAAAACAGATCTTAAGGCTGTCCTTCATTTCTTCTTATCTAAGAATCAATGGAACGTGTCCCTATTTCCCCGTGGAGTGACAGCGTCTGGGAAAGAGCATGCCAAGAATAGACTTGTCTTTGGGCTCCCAGTTGCAGTACGTCCCTCTACCCAAGTTGTATATCTCCACATTTTGTTTTCTCCATTCCCTTTTCTTGGTTATTTGATGTGTATTTGTTTGCTGAATAGAATATAATAGCGGGGGTGAAAAACTCCCATTCAAGCTAAAAGAAAAGACATTTGAAAAAGAAGATTAATGAACTATTTAGACTGAAACATGCATGAAGCTATTTTAAGAGCCAAACAGATGACTGAACCTAGAAATCTGAATGAAAATCAAAGCAAAAGGGAAACTGGGACATCAACAAGAAGATTCTCTGTTATTTTTAATGAATGAATATCATGCAGATGTGATGCAGGCAGCAGTGATATTTAATGAGAGATTTAAACATAATGGAAGGAACTAATTTTTGCAAAGTCTGCAGTTTCAGGTAATGCAAAGATACCCGTGTGTGTATGTAAAATGCACAAGGCCTGTCACAAATTTGGGGTTTTCAAATTCAGCATATACTGTAATTTAGATCAATAAGCAGATATAGCAGAAGGTAAATTTTATATACTAATCATAATTTTCTCTTAAAAAAGTCTAACTTGGCCCCGTCCCTTCTGTCTTTCTAGGAGACAGTGAGGCCACCAATAGACTTTTACAAATAAAGTTGAGATTTGCTTATGATGTCAGAGGTCTTTAGCTCTGCCTATGCAAATGTTCATTTTTATACTCAGTTTAAATTGACTTGGTTTCTAACAGGTTTGCTTTATAGTACTATCCAACTCTTAGTGATTTTTACATAAACATATTAAGATCAAGCGCATTCATATTTAATATCTTTGCCTAAGTACTTAAAAATGTTGACTTTTAAACCGTTTGGCTCCAGCTCTTAACGCCACTTCCCTGAACTTTTGGTTGTGGAGTGCACTGTGCACTTCTCAAGCAGCAGCTAGTAAGGGACAGTGCAATCTCCTGTAGTTGTCAATCCAATTGTTTGGGGAGGGAAGAGCAGGGAAGTGGATTGACATCCTAGGCTCAGGGGCGGACTGACCATTTGGAAACTCGGGCACTGCCCGAGGGCCCGGGGTCAGTAGGGGGCCCCATGAGATGCCCCTGGTACCTTTTTCATAGGTTTTTTGAGTTTGGGCAAGGACACAGGGGCCTCATGATCTCCTATTGCCCGGGGGCCCCATGAGTTGTCAGTCCACCCCTGCCTAGGCTATGTGTTTATGTTGACACACACTGGAGGAGATTTACTATGACTGGTGCACACAGAGTCAGGTGCAGCTGTGCATGATAGCCAATCATCTTTTAACTTCAGCTTGTTCAATTAAGGTTTGGCAACACAACCTAGAAGCTGATTGGTTACTGTGCAGAGCTGTACCAGATTTTGTAACATGCTGTCTTAGTAAATAACCTCTACAGTGTAGGACATTTAGCTCTAGTCCTACCTAGGAGCGTGCAATGCAAGGATGGCTTCATACTCAATAGGACTCTGCAAGGAAGCTGAACAACAGCGGTAGCGGCAAGGGAACCAGATGAATGAGGAGGAAGGAACAATATTTAAAGATCAAGAGGTAGTACATATTATCAGCAGCTGAAAATGCAAAAAAAAAATTAAGTCCAAATAGACCTCTAATGTACCTATTGAATTATTATACATGTTATGCTATACTAAGGTAACACTCATGAATTACAGCATTGTTTGTGTTTATATAGATAGATACAGTAGATACATATGATAGATAGATAGATAGATAGATAGATAGATAGATAGATAGATAGATAGATAGATAGATAGATAGATAGATAAACAAACCCAGTAAGTCTAGAGCAGGGGCGGACTGACCATTTGAAAACTCGGGCTCTGCCTGAGGGCCTAGGGTCAGTAGGGAGCCCCATGAGATGCCCTTGGTATCTTTTTCATAGGCTTTTTTGAGTTTGGGCAAGGACACAGGGGCCCCATGATCCCCTATTGCCCAGGGGCCCCATCAGTTGTCAGTCTGCCCCTGGTCAGGAGTATGGTATGGGGTGCCATGTACTTCCCCACCCAGGTTGGAGAGGATTGTATGGTAAATAACTACACAGAATGTTTGCCTCTGATAGTTTGAATTCCTATGGAGTGAGTTATGCAAGTCTGACCAGGAAAAGTGTTTGTCCCCGGCCATCACATTACACTGATCGACTCCAAGTTTTATTTCTTTGAGACACAGGTGGCTTTTTGCCAAGTCAGCAAGTGTTAGGAAACTGGACTCTAGTCTGCTATGTCAAATTGATCCTTCATGTCCTTCTAAATATGTTTGTTTCTTAGCTGTGTCTGGCGTCAATACGTTCGTTCACAGACCCAAAACACCCTTGCTGTAAGTTAATGTCATAAAATTGTCACAAAGGAAAGATTAGCAGTTGCAGCTTCTCTGATCCTCTCATGACAGGTCTCCTTTCACAGACATGTGAAAAGCAGGGAAAGCTCAGTTGGGTTCCAGTCTGAACCTCTCCTGTGGTGTCTCGAGACAACCAATCATAAGCAGCGGAGGCATTCCCCGTCAGCAGCCACACATATATGCGCCCCTTGTATACATGTCGCTTCAGGGCAGAGAATGACTCTGCTGCTTATGACTAGCTGTCCGCAATGACAGCTTCCCCGCGAGATAGCTCAGCACTGAACATGCCTGAGCTCATTACTAGTGTAAAGATGTAGAAGCTGTGTGAGATTTAAATACAGAACTGGCAGACACCTGTTAAAAGCATTGAGTTGTGTTGGACATAAAGTTATACTAAACACACGGCTTGATTCACATTATCCCTTCTCTTTATGTATGTGGATGAAGCCACTGTAATTGTTTTAATAAAAGTACCTTTTATTCTAATCGATATACAACTGTCACAAGACCCAGCTCTTTCCCAGCCTTTCTGCAGGGAAATAGTGGCAGGAAGAGCTCCTAGTTCTCTGCTGCTGGTCACATGTTTAAAATAAAAAACAGTAGTAGAGAACAAAAGAAAAGAGTGCACCAACCTTGCGCATTACCTCAGTAAACAGTTCATGTATTTATTAAGAAATTATACTCACAAGAGTAGCAGTAAAAAAGGTATATAACATCCATAACCAACACAGGGTTAAAAGACACGTGTGAGTTCCATCCAGGAGGGAGATAAACTCTTAGTCAAGCTGACGCGTTTTGAAGGGGGATCCCTTCTTCCTCAGAGCTTAGAAGGTCTACAAAGAGCACCTGGATTACTGATAGAAATATTCTATTTAGATTCAGTTCCTATTCATAGGAGGCATTCTGCCACTGTGTCAGTGTTTGTCAGTTTTGCAAAACTTTTTTTGAAGTTTTGAAAAAAGTTTTTTTCGAAACCCATCAGCTTGACCAAGAGTTTATCTCCCTACTGGATGGAGCTCACACGTGTCTTGTAACCCTGTGTTGGTTATGGATGTTATATGCCTTTTTTACTGCTACTCTTGTGAGTATAATTTATTAATAAATACATGAACTGTTTACTGAGGTAATGCGCAAGGTTGGTGTGCTCTTTTCTTTTGTTCTCTACTACAGTCTATATCAAGCTTCCCCAGCTTCATGTTAGAGCTGCACAACCTTTGATCAGTATTGGATGAACATTACCATTTTATTGGATTAACCTTCCTCTGAACTGAGCCCCTGAGTGCAGGAGGTGGTGGACGTGTGTACAATTAAAAAACAGCCTTTGGGATACAGAGTAAAAATAAATAATTCATATCAATAAACTGTTTTAAATTGTCATACAAATATATATTTGAAATCAAATGTTTGTTATTTTTGGAAATACCATGGTGTGGATGGATTTTTGTCAGTCACAGGCTGTGTCATGCCTCTCCAGCCTGTGTCTAAGAATAACAGGATGGTGAAGCATAAATCAATCAAGATGTAATATCCCACACCCACTGTGTTTAGCTGGTTAGTGGGCATAGAGGAGGAGTAGGAGGGAAGCGGGCTGTCATTTACCACTTTGTATACGCCCACATGTGTGACTCTATAGTCACACTGGCTGCTCAGATATGATAGGGAGGAAATTCTCAGGATTGAAATACACTGAAAACTGAGCATGTGCACTAGCTGCCAACACTGCTCTGCAAAATCCCCAGCTGCATTGGAGACATGGTTCAGAAGGGCGAGACAGAGAACAGCAGGATCAACCAGGTTTTTTGCAGAAAACAGAAAATGAATCCCATAGTGACTGACAGAGTATGAACATCATGTAATGCAGCATTTATTGATAGTTTTAATAACACTTTATTCCCTACATAGAAATTAACTTGTGCTGAATTTGTTGCGCAAAGGTGGGCACAACCATCCTGAAACTGGAACTTTTATTTTAAGCATATAACGCAAGCAGGCTATTTGACAAACCAAAAAACAATTGGATTCAAATTCAATAGACTGACTCTAAATACATGAAGGTATTATTTTAAAGGTTTCTACTGGACAGTGCATTTTGCTCATCATTACTGCCTGTTGTATCATCTTACGACACACACACACCTTCCATAGGCCACACAGGGACATTTAGCCACAATATTCATGCATAGAAATTCTACTGCAGACAAAGATACCTTATAGCAGACAGATTATACCTGCACATCCAATGGACCTTTACTGTTGGTTACCAACCTCAATAACCACACTATGGCATTTTCAGGCACTACCAGTTCTTTACAAGAAGACAGAATACACCGAATGCAGTGTGTAACTCTTCTACAACAACCACAAATCCTTGGGGTATACTTACCCAACAAATATCAGTCTGCAGAAACATATTTACACTCTAACTAAGGAATGGCAGTCTTGTAACCTACTTTACACATTCCTCTCTCACAGATTACAGCCTTGGACTGTTACTCCCGTCTGGAGCAGTAGGTCTCACACCACTATGGAGGAATTCAGCTGCAAAAAACTTAATATCACTGGAATACTTGGTTGCAGATAAAATACTGAATGCATGAAAAAGGGATCCTTTAGCCAACCAAGACAGGTACACTTTTCCTAGCAACTAAAATACAGTTCTAGTTGCTCTTCTATTCTCAAATGGCATTAGAAAGATCACGCTTGAAATCATTCTTCTGCTGCTGCCAAGACAATATCTTCACTTTCAGTTGAAAAACATATTATGTTTTTCAGTGCACTGCCACCATGGCAAAAGTCATTTTCTCAGTGTAGGAAACATAAGATTGTGAGATAAGATTGTGAGTGTGGCAGTGCACTCAACCTGATAAATTCAGCATGATTTTCTATCCTGTATCAGAGCAACTTTTCAGTTCCCCCATAAGTTTCAATCTGGTGTGCATTCCTGTGCAATATTCTAGTTTTTAGTCATTTAAGCACTCTTGGAGAGTTCAGTCCAGAGAACTCCCTATCAAAACACCCCAGCTGTGTCCTCCAGCCATGACAATACCAAACCAAAATAATAGAGACATTTTTCTTGGTGTAATTGCCCTAACTTAAAACACAACTAAAGGAAGAATCTGTATTAAGAGAGCTGGCTCTGGCACACAGGCCAACCTGGAAACTGGGGGATAGAGGTGTTTTTAAAGTGTAAAGGCAGGCAAAACTTTTCTTTTTGGATAGCGTAAGAGAGGGTTATAACCTCCAACAGTTTTTTTCCCACCTGTGTGCCGTTAGGGAGATTTCCCTTCACTTCCTGTCCCACGAAACACCGGAAGTGAGAAGGAATCCCAATGTGTCACCAGAAATAGTGTCCCCATTGGGAGATTTCCCCTTCATTAGGTCTCATGCACACTGTATGCTTAAGGATGTTTTTTCTCCTACAGGAGTTGCGTCATCAAGAACACGGTAAAAAGTCATGTTTTTGCAAGTGTGTTCCTTTGTCTGGCCTTAATGCATTCTATTGGCCAGAATTCTGGCTATTAGAATGCATTAATGCGGGAACGCACGTTAATGTGCACTTGGGCACTTTTGAGTGTTTTTATGCTCAAAAACATCTCTCCTGAATGCACAAGTAATGTTTTTTTTTTCGGTCTGTAAATTCCCCTACCACTAAACTTTCGAAAATGTCTATAGTGTGCATGAACCCATAGGCTAACATGAAGGGGAGTTTACAGGCAGAGGAAAAAAAGCTCAAATGGCCTGAAGAAGCAGCTTTTTTGAGCTATGGTGTGCTTGAGGTCTGTGTTCTGATGTCAACCCAAACTTTGGGACTTCATTTTATTTTTACTTTCGATAACAGTAAACAGAACAAATAGAGAGATTGAATCTCCCCAACGTGGGCAAAGACAGCAGCAAAAACTGACAGGTGTTCTAATCCCTCTTTACTTTATCTAAAAAAAAAAAAAAAAAAAACATTTTGCCTTTAGTTACACTTTAATGTGATCAGTTCCCAGGAAAAAATACAGAGAAGCAAGATTGAAGTTCCTGGGATTTAAAATTAAAATATAATCTTTACCAAGGCACAAAGTTAAGCTGGTCATACATGGATCGAAATTCGGCTAGTTCAGCAGGGACCAGACGAATTTCAATCTATGTATGGCCACTGTGGTTAAACAGAAGTCCATCTGTTCAACCACCCTGTCGGATTTTAGCCGCTCGATTGTGCGGCAGGCTACAGGCTGATTTGTGTATTTTGACAGCAGGGAAGTCTTCCCACTGTCAGTATACAGAGACACAGTGAGAAGGATCCCCCATAAACCTCGAATGGAATCGGGTCAGCTTTCTTCATTCAACTGCTGGTTGAACAAAAAACTAAAAAGTCTCATCTATGGCCAACTTTAAAGAGGTCTTTTGACAGTGGACATGGGTGCAATAAAGTAAAAAAATTAACCACTTCTAGCCCTTAGGCCATATATATGTATATATATATACAGTATATATATATATATATATTTTTTTTTTTTTTTTTTTTTCTGTACCTGCGTTCAAGGAACACTTACATTGTTTTTCTCTGTTATATTTCTCAAGGATATATAGATTTTATCAGAACCAAATGGAATGAAATCGACAGATTCTCTCATTTTTGTATTTTTTTTTTTGTGTATGAATTATGTATGATGCGCATATTCCTCTGTTTCACTACTCTGTGCGGTGAGTATATAAGAAAATTG